GTCATCTGGGAGAGGCGGCGGTACGGGACGGGGAAGTGAAGGGGAGGAGGCATAAGGTTCGGGAAGGGAGAGTGGAAGAGGCGGAGGGTGTCACGGTGTGGGGTGTGACGGGTGCTGTCTACATGTGTGTTATCTGCTGTGATGGTGGTTGGTGGTCAATCAAGGAAAACTGATGAACTGGATGACGAGGCTTATCCGTGGGTTGCTAATTGAACCCGGATAGTTCAATTCCCGCCCCGTCCATATTAGTCAAGCCAAAACAACAAATGGTCTTGCCGTAAAGACGAGACTTACTGCAGCCATGGCCATTCGCCATGGGAGGGGGGCGCGAGTGCGGCAGGGGAGGTGACGCGAGGGCGTGGCGCATGTTGCAGAAGGGACTTCTGCAATGCCCTGTAGGCTGTGTTGCCAGTGATATTCGTTAGCATGGAGCGCGTTGTTGCTGCCCGCGGGTATAGCGGTAATGTGGCGCAGAGGGATTGAACGGAAGCCGAAACGAACGAAGGGGTCGAGGGCAACGAATGTGTTCTATGCGGAGGCGGCAGGGGATGGGGGCGTGGTGGTTTTGGTGCCTGGGGGGTAGGTGTTGCGGGGCTAGCAGGGAAGCGGCGAGGAGGGTCGAAGACCAGGTACCAAACCATAGGAGACCACAAGTTAGGGCAAAGCAATGGGGGTAGGAGTTGGCAGGGTGCCACAACCCACAAGCCAAAGTGTTGGACAAAGCGGCGAGGAGGGAGGGGGAAGCTGGTGGGATGGAGGTGAGACGAGGCAGCTTTGATGCGAGCTTGGAAGGAAGAGGCTCGGAGGCTAGCAAGGTACAGGCAGCTTCAGGAACTCGCCGTGTAACGCGGGGAAAAGAAGGGTATCCTAAGTGTGTGGGGAGGGACCGAGTCAGTTACGTCAGTGCCACGGTGCCCAGCTCCATGCACCCTGCGGCACCGCTGGCCCGTCCTGCTGCTGCAACCTCCGTGCACACACACACACACACACACACAACTCACCATAGCCAATGGATTTCACTTTACCTGTGGCGTTTCGGTGGGAGGACTTCATCTTTCGGCAATCACAGTACGTTTCTCCTCGCGGGCCAGTTATTTTAACACGCACAACTCACTGAGGCAGGCAGCTTTGTAATCCCGGTATGGCAAGGAAGACCAAGACGGGTTGTGTAGTCGCTGCTTTCGCCCCGCCAGCACTCCTGCTGCGGCTGCTGCCACCCGGTGGAGCACCTCCCATGTCGCTAGGAGGGCCCTTATACTCCATGCAGTATTCCCCCACATGCTGTTTGAAGCCCACACATGCCGTTTGAAGCCCACGGAAGCACGCGGGAGCCCACGGAAGCACGCGGGAGCGATCAGCTAGGTAGCCATCAGCTGGCCTTCATTATGTACTGCGCGAGGAGAACAAAGAAATGAAAGACGTGGCACAAACCGGTATGAATTGAAAAACTGCTCATGGCACTCTCGCGTCGTACACGTACGACACACCCCTCGCGGAGCCCCATCCCGGAAGACTTCCCTCCCGCATACAGGAGTGAGGGCCACAAAGCCCCACTCGTGGCACTCTCCGTCCCCCTCCACCACCTCCATCGCTGCTCTCTTGACTCCTACTCTGCCTCCACGTCACCCACCCGCCACCCCGCCATGCAGCCTGCAAGCCCCTCCCAGCGCCGCAGCCCCACCCGCCGCTCTCCTCTCCACTCCCCGCAGCAACACATCCCTGTCCTGCCTCTCTCTATCTCCCCCCTCCTGGCCCCCTCTCCCTCTTCCCTCTTTTCCCTCTTCCCTCTTTCCGCTCCCTCCCTGCCTGTCCCTCTGCCCCCTTCCTACATGTCTCCCCCCTCACACCAGAGCCTTCACCCCTCCCCTCCCCGCCCCCACTCCCCCTGCTGTTACCCCCCCTCCCGCCCCTCCCGGACCCCGCTGCTGCAACAGCTCAAGAACCCGAGTGCGGCCCCAGTACTCAGCAAGGTCGCCAGGGGTGCGGCCGTCCTGCAGGGGGGGGGAGGGGGAGGGGGAAAAAGGAGAGCCATGAATTGATTGATAGGAGGGGGCGGGAGGGAGGGGGCGGGAGGGAGGGAGCGGGAGGGAGGGAGGGAGGGGATACGGTGGGAAGCAGGGTCACACGGACAGGGTTGAATCCCGGTGTCCTCCTCCCCGCAAACCCACAAACCCACAAACCCGCCCCATCCCGGCACCCCCTCACCGGTATGCACGCCTCCCTGTCCGCCCCCGCCGCCAGCAGCGCCGCCACCGCCCCCTCGCGACCCTCCTTGGCGGCCAGGTGCAGGGCGGTCCAGCCGTCCTAAGCGGGGGAGGGGGGAAAGAAGAATTCCCAATGTGTCGAAGCCAATGTGGGGGGTGGGGGGTGGGATAATGTGGGTCATGCATGGTGGGGAGCAGGGGACATGTGGGAACTGCTGGCAGCAAGCCACCGCACAGTCGAGTCACTAGCAGCCCCCCCCCATCCGTCTGTCCCTTCAGCACCTTCGTCCTAATGCCCCTCCACACCCGCCCCCGCCCCCCCCCCCCCCTGCTACAGGCACCCACCACATCCCTCGCCTCCCGCTCCGCCCCCGCCGCCAACAGCGCCTCCACCACCGCCACGTGCCCCTCACACACCGCCACAAGCAGCGGGGTGTTGCCGTCCTGGCAGGAAGGGTAGGGGAGGGGGGGAGTGAGGGGGGGGGGGGGTGAGGAAGGGAGGAGGGGGAGGAAAGAGACGGGAGGGGCGGTGAAGGGAGCGTTTCTAAAGGAGTTGAGAATGAAGGGTACGAGGGAGGCTATCGACGCATGTGTTGGGTGCCGGCTAACGTACAGGCATACCGTGCGAGGCGCTTAGGGTCGTGGTCGTGCACGCACAGGCTGACCTCCACAGCCTCTCCAGCGGCACGTCACCCACCTCCCTCGCCGTCTCCAGTTACCACCCCCCTCCCCATCCCCCACCTCCCTCCCCATCCGTATCTCACCGTCGCTCGCGCCTCCCGCTCCGCCCCCGCCGCCAGCAGCGCCTCCACCACCGCCACGTGCCCCCCCGCCGCTGCCACATGTAGCGGTGTACGACCGCCCTGGGGTGGGAGGTAGTTAGGCAGGCGGGTGGGGGTGGGAGGTAAGGTACCGGCAGGTGGGGTGGTAGGTGGGATTGGGAGACGGCAAGGAGAGTAACGATTGGGGCAGAGCTTGAGGTGGAAGCACGCAGCATCCGCAGACAGCTGACTCGAGCGGCCTTCAGAAGGCGCGCATGCGGATAAGCTAGGGAGCCAGTCTCCGCAGCAGCGCCGCCCTCGCAAGCCAGGTATGTACAATCCGGTGTGCCTAGGTCGGTACCCCTGCCTAGGCCTCCCAGCCCCTCCCATCCCTCCCCCCCCCCCTCCCCCCCAACTCACATGCTGTGCCGCCGCCTCCCGCTCCGCCATCGCCGCCAGCAGCGCCTCCGCCACGTCCGCGTGACCCGCCTCCGCCGCCAGCAGCAGCGGGGTGCGACCGGACTGGGGGGCAGGGAGAGGCAGAGGGGGAAAAGAAGAAGGGGGGGCCGGGAAAGGCAAGTCGGCGGCAATGGAAGAAACTGAAGGTGTTCAAGCATCATCTGGTGTGCGGGCGGCAGACCAGGAGGTGATAAAAGAAGCAAGTCACGAGTAAACACACCAGCCCAGGGATACACAGTGGTGTACAACGAGGAGCCCTCTCACCGCCACCCCCTCCCTCCCCGCCTGCTCACCGGCGTCCTCATGTCCCTGCCCGCCCCTCCCGCTCCCCCCGGCCGCCCAGCTCCCGCCCCCGGCCGCCCCAGCAGCGCCTCCACCACCGCCGCATGGCCGTTCCTAGCTGCCAGGTGCAGCGGAGTGAGACCGTCCTAGCAGGGCGGGGAGGGCAGAGGGGGGGAAGAAGGGGGAGGGAAGGGGGAGATGAAGGAGGCCATGCTGTGAACATGGGAGGATGGCTGGACAGCGCTGATAGGGGTGGCGCAGGGGAGGGGTGAATGGGGAGCAGCACTGACCCATGGGTCGATGCGCGCCACTCCCGCCCCCCTACCTCTGAAACCGCTTCCCGGTCCGCCCCCGCCGCCAGCAGCGCTGCAAGGGCAGCTGAGCGCCCCTCCTTGGCCGCCAGGTGCAGAGGCGTGCAGCCGTGCTAGGAGAGGGGGAAAGGAGCGAGAGGGGCAGAACAGGGGGCAACAGGAAGCAGGGGGGTGAGAGGGGTGGATGGGATTGGGATAAAAGGGGGTCTCCAGCATGGCAAGCATGGGGAGCAACGGGTAGGGGTACGCGGCGGCGGGGGTGGTGGTGCCGTACAGCGGATGGGGGTCAGGTACGACCCCCCCCATTGCTTTGCCCTAACTTGTGGTCTCCTATGGTTTGGTATGGTCTTTGACCCCCCTCCTACTGCTCTGCCATGCAGCCCAGCACTCACCCTGTCCCTCGCCTCCCGCTCCGCCCCCGCCCCCAGCAGCGCCTCCACCACCTCGCGGTAGCCGGACAGGGCGGCGTTGTGGAGCGGGGTGCGGCCGTCCTGCAGGAGGGGGGGAGGGGGGATGAGAAGTGAAGTGACTGAAGTTTCCAATCCCGTATCCCGACTCATGCAGTGAGCGCATACGGAGACACTATTCTGGAGGAGGGGAGGGGAGTCGCCCGCCTTTCTCCTACACCACCCCCAACCTCCCACTCCTTGTCAGCCACCCACCGCCCCCTTCACCCCCCCATCCCACCATGTCCCTCGCCTCCCTGTTCGCCCCCGCCCGCAGCAGCGCCCGCAGCGGCCCCACGTGCCCCCCCTCCGCGGCCCAGTGCAGCGCCGTCCAGCCAGACTGCAGGGGGGGAGGGGGAGGGGGCGGGGGGGTGGCGGGAAGGGTGAAACAGGCAGGCAGGCAGGCAGGCAGGCAGGCAGGCAGGCAGGCAGGCAGGCAGGCGAGGAAGACACCCGGGCAGATAACGCCGCCCTCGCCCCCTCCCGTCCCCCTCACCCCCCTTACCCCTGCAGTGGCCGCCTCCCGCTCCGCCCCCGCCCCCAGCAGCGCCTCCACCGTCTCCGTGTGGTTGCCCGCACTGGCCGCTGTGAGGGGCGTGCCGCCGGACTGGGGGGGGGAGGAGGGGGGAGGAGGGGGGAGGAGGGGGGAGGAGGGGGGAGGAGGGGGGAGGAGGGGGGAGGAGGGGGGAGGAGGGGGGAGGAGGGGGGAGGAGGGGGGAGGAGGGGGGAGGAGGGGGGAGGAGGGGGGAGGAGGGGGGAGGAGGGGGGAGGAAGGGGGAGGAGGGGGGAGGAGGGGGGAGGAGGGGGGAGGGAGGGAGGGGCAGCGGGAGGGGATTAGGGGGAATGGTAACGTGGTGCCCATGCAAACCAGGGGGAGGGGCATAACACAGTCAGGGGGGAGCGCTGCGCCTGTCCCCCCCTCCCGCCCTCCTTGTCATACAGGTACGGTCAGTCCTTCCCTTATACCTTAACCCTCCGCCAACCCCCAGGGGCATTGGGCATGGGTTGATTCAACTTCATTTTCCCTTCCTGCCTCACCTTGCTCCGTGCCTCCCTGTTCGCCCCCGCCGCCAGCAGTGCCTCCACTAGCTTGGTCCGCCCCTCACCCGCAGCAGCAAGCAGGGGGGTCAGGGACTCCTGGGGGGTGGGTGGGCAGTGGAGCGGGAACAGCAGGGCAGCAGGTAGGGGCAGGTGGAGGGGCAGTAGGGGCAGCGGAGGTAGGAGGCGTACAGGGCAGCACAGGGGGGCAGTCCGGGTGAGGCCCAGTAGTTCCCCATCTGCCGGCTTCCTAAACAGGCAGCAGAGGTCTATCCCCAGTGGCGTTACCCGACTGAGGACGCCTCCCGCCCCTCCGCTTCCCACCCCCCGACTGCCCCCCGTGCTGCCCTCACCTTGTTGCGCGCCTCCCGCTCCGCCCCCGCCGCCAACAGCGCCTCCACCACCGCCACGTGCCCCTCACACACCGCCACAAGCAGCGGGGTGTTGCCGTCCTGGCAGGAAGGGTAGGGGAGGGGGGGAATGAGGGGTGGGGAGTGAAGAAAAGACCAAACCTCAGGAATACAACTTGTTGGGCAAAGCAATGCGGAGGAGAGGGGGAGAGAGGGTTGCGCGGATGTGGGAGGCGGTGGAGAAGGAGGGGCCGCCTCCCAGGCAACCCAGGAGGCAGCACCCCAGCCGTGCGCACTATCGGGGGCTTCGGGGCCCTACGGTCCTTGGGTCCCCTACCCCACAAGCTACGACACCCCAGGCGGGCTCGCAAGTGCAATGCGACCCACCTTGTCCCGAGCGCAGTCCGGCCGCACCCCGCCGACCTGCTGTGGCTCCTCCTTGCCCCCTTGTTCCTTGCCTCCCTGCTCCTTGCCCTGCCCCCCCTGCTGCTGCTGCCCGCCCTGCCCCACCAGCAGGCGGGTCACGGTAGCCAGGTCGCCAGAGGCGCATGCCCGCAGCAGCTCCTCCTGAGAGTGGGGAGAGGGGCGCGGGAGGGAGGAGGGATGGCGGGAGGAGGACAACATGCAAGCGACTTAAGATGTCCCCGATCAGGGTACGTCACGGCAGGTAAAGCGGGCCAGCCGCCCGACGTACTACCCCTACGGACAAGGGGGCAGGTCCCTCAGACAACGGCGACGCTCCGGCTCCCCCATCCACCGGTGCTCACCGCTGTTGCTGCTGCTGGTGCTGCGGCCTGCGGAGGGGCTTTCTTTCGGGACTTCGTGGGCTCTGACGGGTCCGCTACCGGGCGAGGGCAGGGTTCACCCAATAATTCAACTCCGGTGGGCTTCTGCAAGGATAGGAACATGAAAGGTGACAGGGACGCAGTCAAGGAGAAGACAGGAAACAATAAACATAAAGGATACATAACCTGCTAGACACGGCGCCTGAAGGTGCAGAACGTTTGCTAGAATGCAACCGCCTCACGAGGCATGCTGTTGCACTGTTAGACATCAGCTGTTTTTACTCAGCCATCACGGCCATAAAATACGTTATAAGCAGGACAATAAGAGATTTTGAAGAGCAATGCAATTAGGGAACTTCACTCTGTATGCGCTTGCCGCGGCGGATGCTGCAAGCCTGCCCACCTCCTGGGAAGCCTGCGATTGCGAGCCGCCATGTTGGGTATTTTTGCTTGCGCCGCAGCCCATGCTTGTGGATGGTTTTATTGTCCGCTGCCTTATAGCATGCCGAACTCAACTACCGCTGGTCTTCCCTTTCAATAGCAAAACGCTCAATAGCTGCGGTCGTTTTCGTGAGATAAAAACACTTGTTGATGTTAGGATAAAGATGTAACTGCAGGCGTCAAGAATCCGGTACCAGCCTGGTTCTAGTAAGCCCTTGGACTTTCAACAATCTATCGGGCATTACCAAACCTGATACCCCAGGAGTGCTATACCGGGATGCTGTGGCATGGCAGTAGCTGTTGCTGTTTGTGCAGTACGGCTGGGTTTAGTACAGTCTGTTGTCGTTGTGCGCATAGGGGCGCAAGATGAATGATTGCACCGGAAATGGGGCCAGGGGCGCGGTTTCTTGCATGGCACGCGGTTTGGATGTTCACTACATTACTGCGCATGCAGGGCTGTTCGCTGTATTGCTGGAGTTAGCGGGCCGTACCGTGCTTATCGGTCCATGGCATGCAGGACGCTGCGCCATGTGAAGGTATCATTCAGGGAGCCGAGTGGGCTATGCAGTGGTGCCTAGGTGGGTGTGTGGGGGTGCACCACTGCGCTGATGCGCCTAGTGCTTTAAGACGTACCCAGCACATACCCAGCACGCTGCACAAAGCCAGGCTGGCATGAGGCTTTCAAACATAGCGCCAAAGCCAGGGTAGGCAGACCCTATTGCTCCTCTTGGAGGCGCCCAACCCACAGTAACCGTTGTGACACACACGTTGACAACGTCCATTAGTTGGCGTAAACATGGACATGTACCGAACTGCAGCCCAGCGCTGCAATACGCTTTGCTGTTGTGAGGGCACAAGACGGGTACATGTTAATACGCACTGCAGGGTCCTCCAGCCCCACTCCACATCAACCATGGCAGCGGTGCCGTACGGTCTCGATAGCAGTACGGCACGCAAAAGCGGAGCGTGCGAGTGTATTTTGTATCGTAAGCCACCTGCTGAAAACTGTAAAAGAAGGGGCGCGGCCGGCGCCTAGAGGGAATGGGCAGCATTTGGCGCCACAATATAAGAAAACAACGCTCTCTTCCTTCCGCCCGCCAACTCACAGACGCACAAAGACACACACGCTGCGTACGTTCCTACTCGCGGCCAGTTTTCTTAACACGCTGCGTACACGCTCAACACCCCAGCAGGACGGAGGTAGCACGAGTTGCCGGAAAAATTAATGAAGTCCCGGTTTTATGTGAGAAGAAGGCTCTCTCCACCACCATCTGTGATCCAGTTCATGGCGCCTGCAGCTGTCGGCACCTTGAAGGGTGGGCTGCATTCGCGCCAACAGCCCACCCCGAGCAATCACACGCCCCGCATCCCCTCTTTTCCGGCCCCTCCACAACTACCATGCCAGCACGGCCTGCAAGCAGGCATCCAACCTCCTCCTTCTCGCCCCCTACCACCGCCCTCGTTATCGCGCTCTCACTATCCACGACACCCTGCCACCTCCCCTCCTCTCCTCCTCCTCCCACATGCCCGCCTCTTCCTTTATTCTCTGCACCAAGCCACACCTGCCCCCTCCTCTACCCTCCCTTCCCTTCCCTCACTTTTGCAGGTACTTCCACGGCCGCACCACCGCCAGCACAATCACCAGCGCCACGATCAGCATGATCATAATGGCGCAGCACATCCACTTGCGAGTGTTCTTCTGCAGCTGCTTGGCGTCCTGCAGCGCCTCCGTGCCGCCCTTCACGTAGTCAACGGAGCGGGCGACCTGGGGGGAGAGGGGGGTGGGTCAAAGACCATGCCATAGCATAGGAAGCCACAGGTTAGGGCAAAGCAAAGGGGAATGGGAGGTCGGGGGGGAGGCGGGGCAAGGCAGGGCCACATAGCTTGGCTTGGGGTCTTGGGGAGAGGCTGGGGGATGTGGGGGGTGGCAAGTCGGCGTTGGCGGGCGCTATTGCGGCGTGCCGGATTGCACCAGTCGACCGCATGGCACGTCCTTCGTCCTTCCAGCTGTGCCATAAACACACAGGGCCCATCCGCCTCCATCCCCGCCGCGCACCCTTTCCACCACCACCACCCACCAGACCCCTCTACCCCAGTTGCCCACCTGCTCCTCAATGCCTTCTCCAACGGTTAGTCAGGCTCTTCCTCTGTACCCCACCCCCACCCCCGCTGGTTACAACCTCTGTACCCCACCCCCACTGGTCCTCCCCACCCCCACCTGCTTCTCGATGTTGTCCAGCATCTCCCCCTGCGCCTCCACCAGCACCGCCATGTCCAGGAAGATCTGGTGCAGCTCAAGAAGCGACTGCTCCAGATCCCGTACGGCACGGTGCCGCTCCTGGATCTCGGCTAGCGTGTCCAGCACGCGGCCGCGACCCTGGGGAGGGGGAGAGGGAGGGGCAGGTTGTTGGAGCGTGGGGGTTCGAGGTGGTGGGAGCGGGGGAGGGAATGCGCTAAATTAATCTTGAACCACTTGCCGTGTGCTGGCGTACCTTGGTAGCACCGCCTAAGCTGTGTACCTCACCACTAAGCTGAGTACCTGCCGACATTGCCAAGGAAGGGAGCTGTGTCCCTGCAGCAGCCCCAGCGGCCTCCTCACCCTCACCACCACAACCCCACCCAGCGGCCTCACTCTTACCCCCACCCCCAACCAGCCCCCCAACCAGCGCTCCGCCCCCACCTGCTCCAGAATGGCCTTCTGGAAAATGTTTTCCGACTCGCCGCTCTCAATCATCGCGTCAATGTCCTCCTCCTTCACGTGCTGGCCTGCAGGGGCGCGTGTGTGTATGGGGGGGGGGGGTCGCGGGGTGTGCAGGGGTCAGAGAAGAACAAAAGGAAACATCATTTTGAACGTGTGATCCCCCACTTCGACCCGTGGGTCCCCTCCACACATCCCCTGCCCGCATGTCCCTCAGCTCCCTTTCTCCCGCCCCTCCCAAGCGGTTTACCCAAGCCCCCACCACGGAACACCCATAACCAACCCCCCCTCCTCTCCCTCATTAGTCCAGCCAAATGCGGAGTAATACTCCCCTCCCCTCCCCTCTCCCCCTGCTCCCCCCCCCCACCTGTCACGGTGTACACCCGCCGCTCCACCACCTCGCGGTATTCCGACTGGATGCGAGTGCGCAGCTCCGAAAACTCCTGTGCGGACCAGGAGAAGTGAGGGAGGGGAAGTGAAGGGGGGGGACCGGGCAGCATGCGGTTAGTACAGGGGAGTACACAGGAACGACTCCGGAGGGCGACACACAACCGAGCAGGCAGGCGGGCTTCGGCTGGCAGGCGGGCCGGGGGGGGGGTGCGCACACAGGCAGGGTCAGCAGCTCAACACATGCAGGCGTGCAGTTCACGTACCGGGACTGCCGCCCCTCCGCCATCTACCCCCTCCCAACTCCTATCCCCATTGCTTTGCCCTAACTTGTGGTCTCCTATGGTTTGTTATGGTCTTTGACCCCCCCCCCCCCGAGCCTCCTTCCCCTCCCTTCCTCCTCGCCTGCATGTGGTCTTTGAGTTTCTTCTTGAGCCCCGCGGTGATGGTGGTGCGGGTTCGCTCCGAGGCGGTGCCCACCCCCTGCCCCTTCTTCTTCTTGGCCGCCTCGTTCTCCTTGTCCAGCGCCTCCAGCCGGGCCTTGGCGGCGTGGGCCACCTTGTTGACGGTGGCGATCTTGTCCTGGGGGGGAGGGGGGAGGGGTGAAGAGGGGGAGGGAGGAGGAGGGAGGGGGAGGGAGGAGGGGTAAGCAGGGAGGAGGAGACGGGAGGCGTGTGAGTGGGTGGAGGGAGGTGAGCATGGGGTTGGGAAGGCGGGCGGGTAGGGAATAGGAAGGTGGAGGGTGCGTCCGCATAAGTGCGAAGTGACGTGCCCCGGCAAGGGAGGGAGAACCCCTCTTGGAAGCGGGTGCATGCGCTTCCTCCCCGCCCGCTCCGTAGGATGTGGATGCCCCCTGTCATGGCCCCCGGCATTATACCGTACCTGCATTGTTTCCCGGTGCTTCTGCATCTCCTTCGTCTTTACGATAGTCTTGCCTTTCTCATGCATGCTGAGCACTTCCCGCTGCAAGTCCTTGACTTGCGCCAAGTCAAGCTTAATTTGCTCAACCCTTTTGAAGAAGTCCTGCATTTCGCGCTCCGCATCAGTGGGCGGAGGAGCAACTTGCTCTTCGATGTCCTCGATTTCAAGCTCATCGTCGTCTCCTCCGTAAAGGGCATTCCTGCCCTTAACGGTTCCTAGTAGATCATTCATCTTGCCGCGTTAGGCCAGCGGGTAGAGGCCAACCGCCTCTCCCGCTGCGCCGACCGTTCACGCTCACAGACTACCTTAATAATACTAAATGGCTTTAGACATAGGTTGATTTGTGAATTCCTTTAAACACGATTGCACAAATGTAGTAGCAGGTGCTTAAAGATATTTGAAAAAGCAGGCAAAGGTAGGTGATAGGCCTAAGCAGTAACAACAGGACCAGTAGACGAATACATTAAGCCAAGTAAATGCAATTCAAAGCAGGTACAGGGCTTTGAAAGGATACACGACACAGGACGACTGTTGCATGGGCCCAGAAAGAGGATCGAGAAGGCATGCAAGCCAAAATGACAGCACATATGACACTACTCTGATAGGAAGGCTTCCAGTATAACTGCAATGTTCAATGTGTGCCCGCTTTGTTACGGGGCGCTGGAGGCAGTCGGCGCGTTCGCTAACGTGCAAGCACATTCGTAGCTTCACAGCACTGTTTGAAACCTCATTAAGCCACGCCTACTTTGCTGTTGGCCTGCTTGGTGGTTATTGCGGCAGTGCTCAGACGCCTTTCTTGGATATTCATGACACAGTCGCGTCCGGCCATCTTCAGTCCCCAACTGAACCCCTAATTGCAACCGAGAGAGCGCAAAGGCATAATAAAGTCCTCTGCGGCCTGCTTGGCTGTTGACTTCATGTCCATTTGCCGCCAGAAATGCGTTCCGTGCCGACCGCTGTATCGATGACATGCACATGCTGACAATTCAAGCTAGCGGCAACTTTATTGCGCCGATATCCTCTTGGAACATTCCCGCACAGAATCACTACATTGCCGTGCGACAATCCTTCATAAATTACAGCTCAGTCGGCACCATAGCAGGGCGGGTGGTGGGCTGGTCCACCTATCCCACATGCGCAAAGCTAGGCGCCAACCAACTGTGGAAGAGGCTACTGCCCTAGCATCCCTATGCCCAACTTCATGCAATCACAAATATAGGCCAAGAAAATAACGACGTTGAAAGAACAACCCCGGGAACAAGCCTGCAAAAGGCCCGCATGCCAAAGTACCCCACCGCCACAGCCCGGCCGCGAGCTAAGGATTGCATGAATGCCTGCGGACCTCAATGCAGTATAAGTCTACAAATGAACCACAAAACGGAAATGAAGTGCATGTCCAATATGGGTCAGGCACATGTTCCAAGTCCAGGACACGCCACACCAAGGCGGCCGTACGCTCCAGGCTTCGCCGCAAAGCAAAGCATATGTGTAAAACCATATAAACGAGGGTTAAGCGACCCAATAACAATAACAGAACCCACCGTGAACACTAGAGGGACACCCGATAGTAACACGCAGCACTGCATCGCTTTACTCACAAGTGCACGAAAGCAAGCTCTTTAACAACCTACCGGTACATCCTACTGGATAACCTATCTCCAAGCGAGGCTCCTACAGCCCCCAAAAGTCTAAACAGGATTCTTCCCCCTTCCATTGGCAGTTTGGCACCGCTTCACCGCCCTCCTTCACACATGCATACACATATCACGAACTCCGTACCAACCCAACACCTCCACACTACCCACAAACGGCACCTTACCCCACCTCCTGCCCCCAACCTCTATCCCCGTTACCCTCCCCTCCCCCCCCTGCACCCCTACACCACTCCCAAACCACCCGCCAACGTCCCATTCCCACCCGCTCCACTCCCAGCCCCATTAACCCCGCCCAACCCCAACCCCACCACTCCCTCATCCTCCGGCCACGTGCCCCCCGGGTACGTCCCCGGATCCGGCCGGTCCTTGTCCCAGTCCTTGCCCGTGATGGGGTTCCCCAGCGGCAGCTCCCAGCGCGGCTCCCAGGGGTGCGCACATGCAAAGCGCCCCGCCTCCACCTTGACCCGGCAGCAGGGCGGCTGAAAGCGGTAGCGCTTGGGCGGCGCGTTCTGCGGCGCGCCGTACTTGGCGGCCCACTCGAACCCGCGGGTGATCATGTCTGGGCAGGAAGGGAAGGGGGCGGGGGATGGGTTGAGGGGGTGGGATGGGTTTAGGGAGGAGTGTGGTGTTGGGTGGGGCGGCATGGGCGCGTGAAGGGCGGGTAGGTGGGTGTACGGGGACGTGGGGTTGTGGGCGGAGGTAGGGAGGTGTGGAAGGGAGAAGACATGGGGATGTCCTTGGCTTTCGATGTTGCGGGCCGGGGTACAATCACTGGGTTTACGGTTGTCCGCAGTTGTATCCTCGCCCGCAGTCGTAGCACTCACTGCATGAGTCGGGCTATGGGATTGGGACTCTAGTTGTTTGCATAGATTATAAAATCCCCCTCCCGCCCCGCCAGCCCACCTGTGGCCCGAGTGTGAAGGTTGGTGGCGACCCGCACGTCCGGGAAGCCGAAGTGCGACCGAACCTGAGCCACGCGGCGAACATGGAGCAGCGGACAGGAGGAAAAAGGAAGATGAGAGGCGATCGGGGTTGAGGTACAAGGCTGGGACATATTGTAAAGAGCTGAGACCGAATGGCTAGTGCGCTGCGAAGTTCACAGCGTACGTGGATCGCAAGTCATCCTTCCAACCGGCAGCCTTCCCTCCTGCCCTCGCCCTTTCCCAAACCAGGGCAGGGCAGCGAGCCTTACCTGTCTCGGCGTCATATCCGCGATGCGCTTTAAACACGCCGCTAAATCTGGCGGGTAAGCCGTACCCAGCTCGCCCCACCGCTGCCCTCCCTGCCCCTTGCCGCCGCCACTACTGCCCGCCCTGCCTCCCCCCTGTCGCTGCTGCTGCTGCTGCGGCGGCAGGTTGCATCGGTAGTCCAGCAGCAGTTGCGGGTCGGCGTGGCCCTTGGGCATCACGATGGTTGTCTTGGAGGGCAGCTTGAGCACAAAGTGGTTGGCTAGGCGCACGATCTCCTGCCTGGAGGAGGAGGGAGGGGAGCAGGGGTGCAGGGCCCCAGGGAGCGCAGGAGGGGGATGGAAGGGAGGGTTGAGTAAGAAGCAGGGAGAGAGGAAAGGAAGGGTTGGGCATGCAATGGGAGCAGCAGCCTGGCCTCTCCCATCCCTCTCTCCCTCACGCTCCCAACCCCAGGTGCCCGCATGCATGCACAATTTCCCGTCGATCCCCTGCCCCCGCCCCCGTAACAGCCACCCTTCCAGCACCGCTGGCTTTCCCTTCTTTCCACATCCGGTTCCCCTTCCCCTCAGCTCCTCACTTTCGTGGCCCAGCCACAACAACCCCCACCCTCGCTTTCGCGGTTCAGCTACTAAAGCTTACAACTACAACCCCCCCACCCGCAGGCCCTCCTCACTTCTGCGTAGTGGGCACCAGCACCGAGTCGAACCCGCAGTTCAGCCACATGTGCTGCAGACACGCCTCATTGTCAATCAACACAATGTTGCCATCCTCTTGAATGAATATGTTTTGCGCGTGCCGGTCGCACTGGCTGGTCAGCAGGTCAAACACCGCGGCGCGCAGCACTCGGGTGCGATTGAGGCGGTCGTTGAGGAGGCCGGCGATGGTGGGTGGCGGCAGGCGCTTGGGCTTGCCCTTGTGGATGAAGTTCTCCAGGCTGATGCCGTCCACGTACTCCATCCATAAGCCCCACCTGGGGGTGGGTGTGGGGGGGAAGGGGTAGGTTGCGAAAACGGGGTGCATGGGCGCGAAGGAGCATGCTGGGGATTGGGTGCATGGGGTAGGAGGGTGGGAGGTCGCCGGCAGGTGAGGTGCTGGGTGGATGGTAGTGCGTAGGGCGCTAGGTGGTAGGAGGTGTGTCGTGAGGATGGCAGGTACGAGGGAGAGTTAAAGGTGGCAAGGGTGTCGCCTGCGCCAGCCCGCCGCGCGCGCCCGCACCCACCAGTCTATGGGAAAGCCGATCCCGGGCACCACCCCCCTCACGGGGGCCAGCCACATGCGGGGAACGATGTCCTGTGGGGTGTGTGCAGGGGCAGGGACGAGCCGTGGGGGAGAGTTGCAGAAGGGACGAGAGAGAGCGGAACGGCCTAAGGCACAGGCGCCCAAGAAGGAGCCGCCAGGACCCAGGAGGTAATGGGTGCAAGGGCAAGCTGCAAGGACACCCGGTCCAGCTGATGCCCGCCCGCCGCATGAACAGCCCTCCTAAACCCCTCAACCAATCCCCGCCCCCCCAAACCTGTATCATTATCACACCACACTTTGGAATTTTTTCCCCCACCCCCATCCTCCCCGCCCCCTTTTCCGCACCGTGAACCCGCACTCCTGCGCCAGCTTGTCCACCGCCATGAGCTGCCGCATCACCTCGGCGGTGCGGGCGGGGCGGCACTGAGGCAGCTTGGCGCCCGGGCGCTTGGGCAGCGGCAGGCAGTAGAGCTTCACCACCGCCTCGCCGCTGCGGGTGACGTTGGTGTTGGCGCGGAAGATCCAGCTGTGAACGGGGAGGAGGCGGAGGAGGGGGCGGAGGGAGTTAGGTTGGAGTAACGGTTTGGTAACGGTGCACACCTGGAAGTGGGGCAGTGACAGCATCAACCGAGGCGTGGTGGGAACATTTGCTACGGTTACCTTAAGTTCAAGCTTCCAGGATGCTGGAGCTTTTGTGCCCAGCCCTCCCGACTGGCCCCTACCTGCTGGTCGCTCCCGCCTCGTTGCTGTAGGTGTTGTTCATGAAGGTGGAGCTGTCCGAGATGTGGGTCAGGTTGTGCAGGCAGCCGTAACACTCCGAGCAGACCGGCAGGTTGCGGCGCTGGCGGGTGGATTGGGGCAGGTAGCTGGAGGGTTTGAATTCTATGGGAATGGTTGGATCCAACTCCGGATCGTATTCAGGCTGTCGCCGCTTGCTGTCGCTGGCTGCTACTTGACTGCTACTTGCGTTGGTGTCGTCGCCGTCAACGATGCCAGCTGTGTTGTTATTGGCGGGCGATGCAGAGGCGCCGCTGGCAGCAGCGCTGGAAGCCGTACCGAGGGCTCCGTTGGCATGGGAGGTTGCATCGGCAGATGCTGCAGTGTTGCCGTCGGAAAGGTCAGCTGGACGTCTGCCCGGCGGTGGAGACTCACCAAGATGACAACGATGGCAGAGGCGACATTGGGAAACATGTAGCATAGGGGCAGCCTGGGCAGCCTGCGCCTGCGAAGTGAGGGCGTTGCCGTTGACAGCTAAAATTCGACAAAAGTGTCCACGATTCGCGTCAGCCAAACATAAAAGGACTTACATATACAGCCGTCTTCGTTGTATCTATTAGCCCGGCTAGCACCAGCAGAACTCCAAGCAGCAAATGGGATGGCATGGTGAAGTGAAACGCGGTATGTTGTCCTGGTGACATCTTGAGCCTCCCCTTCCAAATTTCTAGGTGTACACGTGTGCTTTCATTCCTGTTCCTTCATACATAGTAATTACGGATGTGGTGTGCGCAGCCGTGGCCAAACCCGACAGATAACAGTGCGAGTGCTTCGCACACCCTGGATTTCGCCATGAATCCAGCTCCTCATATGTCAGACTTGCTAAAACTATTGGACGACGGCACCGGTGGCCTGCCTCTAGGTAGCATTATTTTGGCCGTACGAAGCCCGTTGGCTTTTGCCAGCGCCGTTAGTGGAGCACATTTATTCTTATTGGATTTACATAGCGCACTTGCGTATTTGAGGACACCTAAACTGAAGTGAAAGTAACAGCCCATCTTCTGAACAGCGGAACCGAAACATGCAGCGGCTTCTGGCATCTGTATGTCGCCCAAGTATCTTGACGAATATAGCGGAAGTCAGCCAGATTAACAGGGCTAGCGGCTGCCGATTCTTGCACACCAGCTCGCCAGTCGCCGATTTGAGAGAATTCCTGGACTGGGACTCGCGGGACAGCGGCAACACCGAAGCATATGGTACGCTGAGCATCGATGTCATGGACGCATCAGTCGAAAGCGCAAATGCGTAAAGGTCCAATTGCCATCCTCCTTTTGCAGGGAGGGGCTGGAAGGTTGAGGAGCTGCGCAACAAGTCATGGCAGGACCTCCATAAACTCTGGTAAGCTGTTTCATCAACCCCAATTCTGCCCAGCGCTCTCGCCGGGGTCGGACTGCACACCATCCTAGCCCGGCGAGCCAATCCACATAACCCTGCCCACCTCTCCCACCCGCCCCCTGCCCACCCATCTCCCCCACCTTCACCCCGCTCCCAGGTACGTGTGCCTAAAGGAGCGCAACCTGCTGCTGACGGAGCTGGGCTGGAAGCGCATCCCCAAGGACGCGGAGGAGCAGCGCATGCGCTCCATCCCGGTGGGGGCGGACGCTGTGGAGTCGGACGTGCACCGCCTCAGATACCAGGAGGTGGGGGGCAGAGAGGATATGGGGAGGGGGTGCGGAGGTGGTTAGGCGTGGCGGTTTGGCTGCGAGGGTGCATTAGCATGGCTATGGGCGGCTGTCATATCCTTAGGGACCTCACTCTCTCCTCCTACGCCCTATCCACCCTCTTCCCACCCATCCACCCTCCTTCAGGTCCAGTCCAGCATGCGCCACATCCGGCAGGTGCTGCAGGAGCGGGTGGAGGCGGAGCTCTCGCCCGCACTGCGCAAGGAGATGCAGGCGGTCATTGACGCGCGCTAAGCAGGGGGCGGAGGCACAGATGGCTAGGGCCGGAGCTTCACGGCTTCGGGGCTTGGGCTGGACGTAGGCTAGAGCACTAGGGGGGTTCCGCGCTATGTATGGGTTTGGAGGAATGATGGTAACTGGATGCCGGTATCGCTGCTTGGTCTGAGCTGGGCTGGGTTGGAAGAGACGCGGGTGCTGCTGGTGAAGCTGGCGGTCTGCAGCAGCAGGAGCGCAGCAGCTGAGAGCGGTTGGCTTGGCTGCGCGCGTGACGCGCGGGCGTGGCGGCACGCTGGGTGGCAGTGCGCGGGCGTAGGGTGGGTTGCAGGCCATTTGTCACATTGGTGTGCAAGCCACGCGTGAACCCGGGGGTGTCCTTGAGGGCCGCCACCCTGCATGATGTAGGATTTGCACCCACCCTAGGGCTGCAAGCCATGCCAGCCACATGCGCATGACGGGTTGGTGGCGGCTTCCGACAGCGCTGGTCGGGACGGAGAAGGGGCGGTGGTGGTGGTGGTGGTGGCGACGAGGCGGGTGTCCCGGGGGCCTCCGGTGGTGCGGCGTGCATACAACCGTAGTGAAATGGCGTGCGATGGATTGCATGCGCATGATGATGTGTGCGAGGGGAGGGGATGTACTACCCGGAATCCCTGGTCCCTGTAGCACAGCCAGGCGAGCGCGCGGGGTACTGCGTGCATGCATGCGCCACGTTGGGAGATGAAGACCGAGGCAAATGATGACGGTGGGGGGACGTCAGGTGGCAGCTTGTGCGTTGGGGCGACACGGAGGGCGGTGATGGGGCGACTTGTTGCCGTGTTTTGCCCGTGTCTCGGGTTTCAGGTGTGGGAGTTGGGATGGCTGGGTGGGGGTAGGAGCGCCGCTACAGCAAGCCCGGCTAAGCCTTGTAAGGATACTATACCTACAGCACATCACAACCGCTTACCGGTATAATGCACTCAGCCTGAACCCCACTCAGAACCGCCAAACGGCCTCAACGGGGGAGGGGCCTTCCCGATTCTTTGGGGCTCAGGTCAGCGCGATGCGGAGCTCAGTCTTGTTTTGCGCTACCGGTACCTCTCTGACTGCTGCTGCACATCTGATGCGGTACACCGAGCGCCCAACCCACTCATGTAGTCAACGGGCCTTAATGCTACCGCTACTAAGCGCCCAAATTAGTACGTAGCTTCCCTCAAAGTACCGTATGTTGTAGTTCCTTGGCTTGCAATCCTGTCAACTTTCGCAACCAACTCAACTTCCAACTACTGATTCCCCGGTTTCCCTCCCCCAGACAGTTGCCTCGTCAGTGTCTCTTCCTCTTCTACACCCCCCCCCCCACCCACCCAAGACAGCCGTACGACACCTCCAGCCCTCCTCAAGGACCCCCAACCCCCGCCTGCCCCAGGCACGAGCGCCAGTGCGCCCCCAGGAAGCGCAGCGCCGCCGGCAGCCGCTGGCCCCAGGCGCCCTCATTGTGCACCGCCCCCTCCGCCACCACCACCCACAGCAGCCGCTGCAGCCCCGCCTCCCGCCTCCCCCCACCTCCTCCACCGCCGCCATCGCCGCCGCCACCTTCATCAACCCCACACCCCAGGGCTGCTGCCACAGCTGCCGCCTCGACCGCCTCTGTCTGCAGATGCTCCGCACTCAACGCAGGGGGGTAGCCCCGTGCGTCACCACCACCACCACTCCCCATGTCAACTGCTACTGCTACAGCGAAACCTGCCAGCCTTCCTGCTGCGGCCCCTGAGGGTCCTACCTCTCCGCCTGTAGCTGTGGCTGGTTCCGCCCCCGCTGCTGCCCCCACCTGGCTCATGCCCCTCTCTCGCAGCAGCCAGCCCAGCCGCCGCGCTAGGGACACCAGCAGCGAATCGAATTGGGCCACAGCGGCGGAGGGGGAGGGGGCGGCAGACGGGTCGGGAGGGGCGGCGGAGGGCAGGGGGAAGGTGCCGTACTCCTGCATGGGCGGAGAACGTATTGGGCAAGGAGTGGTGTTAGGTAGCGGTCACGGCCAGCGCGGTTGTTGCGGTAAACCATGTTTCGGTCAAGGCACGCTCTGCTTGCATGGCTACCGATACGACTATGCTGACTGGTCCAGCGACCCAGTTCCCATGACTGCCAGCAGTCACTTGCCTACCGGTGTGCCCCCCTCCTCCGTTCTTTCTTTCTCGCCACCCTTGCAAGCCTACGTTGCCACTCCTTAGCTCCTTACCCTCGTGCCCATGGCCAGGAATACCCGGGCAGGCCAGGCCCCTCGAAACGCAGCTAGGTCGCCTTCCTCCTCCTCCTCCGCTGCTCCCTCCTCCCCGGCTCTCTGCTTACTGCTCCCCCGCCCCAGCAGCAGCAGCCGCCCCTCCCCCACCCACAAACTGGGGCTCTCCACCAGCACCGACTCAAACACCCCCGGGAGCCGTACGGCAGCCCACAGCGCACTCACGCCGCCAAAGGAGCTGCCTCCGAAACCACGCAGCGCAGGGTCACATGAAGCGCCGTACACTCGCTCCACGTACGGCAGGATGTCGTACCGGACGGCATGAAGGTAGGCGTCAGCGCCGCCGCCGGGCCAGGTGGCGGCGTCGAGCCGGAGGCCGGCTGCGGCACCTGGGGGGTACGGCAGGTAGTCGTACGAGCGCCTGTTGGGGGGTGAGTAGAAAAGAGCGGTGTTGGAACGCGGAGGAGGTGTGGCGAAATGTTCATTGTTGACACAGAAGGTGATGGAGGTTGTGGTTAAAGGGTAGGTGAACGGGTGGAGTGGGAGGCGACGCTGGTGAGTGTGGGGACGCTGTCACAAGTCTCATCCGCCTCATTCATTCCATTAGAGCGGGGTGAAGCTACTGAGGGGCTAAGAGGGCAGCAGCTCCCCTGCGGGAAGCAGCGTTGGCACCGCCCCCCAGCCTCCCTCCAGCCTCACCTGCTTCCCGAGTGGTCGAGCCCCACCAGCAGGAAGGGCGGCAGCTGCCCTGCCGCGATCAGACGGGCGGCCGCCTCCGCCGCTCCCCAGCTGACACCGCTCAGGGAGGAGGAGGATGAAGGGGAAGAGGGGGAGGTTCCGAACAGGTTCTGGCCGTCGTTGAGGTAGATGACGGGGTAGGGCTGACGCGCGGCAGCGGAGCGGCTATAGCCTTTAGGAGGGGAAAGAGGGAGGGAGGGGCCGGCCGGCCGGCAGGCAGGCAGGCAACGGAGGAAGCGGGCTAAAGGAAGGAAAGCAAGTGTACCTGACCAGGATTGTGTGGCTCATGTGAATGTCATACACCCAGACTTGTACCGCCCGCCATGCACGCTCGGGAGGCCCACCCGCACCCCCACCCTCTGCCCCAACCCTCAGAATGACCTCCACCAGTCTACCACACCCCTCCCACCTGGCGGTGTCCACACCCCTCCCACCTGGCGGTGTCCACACCCCTCCCACCTGGCGGTGTCCACACCCGTACCATGCGCCCCCCTCCCTCTCCTCCTCCTCCTCCTCCTGCCTCCCTCTCCCCAGCCTGCTCCCCCTGCATGCTGCGCGACACACTGCTCCAGCGCACCCCCTCCAGCCGGCCGCCTGCCAGCGGTACACACCACTCCACCTCCGTCCCCGCAGCACCCAACACAGCACCCCCGCTGCCGCTACTGCCGGCCCCCAGGCCGCCGCTGCCGCTACTGCCGGCCCCCAGGCCGCCGCTGCCGCTACTGCCGCCGCCGCTGGTAGCGGGTAATGGCGGCAGTAGCGGCCTTGGCAGCGGTGGCAGTTGCCATGGCAGTAGCAAAGGTGGTGGTGGTGGTGGTGGTGGTCGTGAAGGTGATGGTGCTTGCCTTTTAAAGTGGCTGGTAAAGATGGTGATGGTGGTAGTGCGAGGCCGGCGTGCACATGGGGGCTGGGTGCGACGGGGTAATGGGTGAGGAGGGGAGGCGAGGGCGGCGGCTGTGGTGCGCATTGGAAGAGGCTGCTGGTGCTGTTGCTGCTGCTGCTGAGAGGTGCAGCTGCTGCTGCTGGCCTTGCTGACGACGGGAGCTGGTGTTGCTTGGGGGGTTAGCCCTCAACGAGACGTTGGTAATGAAGAACTCTGAAAGTTGGTTATCTGGTGAGACGTCACGAGCAAACGTTGCATTAACGGGGAATGACAGCGCTTTGCTACTTGTGCTTCGCTTTGAGCGAATGCCGAGTGAAGATTACGGCGCAGCGCTGCTCGATGAAATTTCGCCGAAAGCCCAATGCGTTCGCCGTTTAGCGCAAAGCCTAACTAACGTGTATGCGCGTTGGCTTACTGTATCTTCTCTTAATAACCGGAAGGAAAATTCAGGGCTGAGGGCTTAGCTACAATTCCTCGGGCCCCTTCCGCAACGCCGCAACATCCTTGATTCGACGGTACAGGACGTCACGTCACCAAGCGAGCGTTGGTTAATCTCCTGTGTACATAGACGCACAGCCTGTCCTGGCAGGCACCCATTCTCTTTGTTCGGCAACACGTAATGATTGCGTTAGAGCTTCGCTGTATATCCTATTAAACCGCGCCTGCCCGTTCTTTTGTTGGGTATGCGCGAAACCCACCATACTCCAGCCATTCAGTATCTGACTGCTTTCCCCCATGTGATCTTACCCTCCATATTACAGTTCTCGTGGTGTACGTGCATGCAATGCTCACATACGTGCTCGTACGGGTCCTGGTGCTTTCGCCGTGCACTCCACGTATGCAATCTAATCAATCGAGTGGTTACCACCAAGCACAACGGTCAACCAAGCAACTATCAACAGCCAACTTCCACTCGGCCATTACAACGTAACGTTTCCTATCGTGCAACCCCTTACTTCTTCCTAACAGGGGCGAGCCAGCACAACGGCCGGGGTGCCGGAGAAACCATCCCAGGGTGTCTCGAGGAGCAGCCCTGCTCCTTCTTTCATGTAATCCGTCGGAAAGCCCGCTTAGGAAACGACGAAGCGGCTACAAACCGCAACAAACCGTACCCAGGCACCCAACCATCCAACCAACCACCCAACTACCGCCCCTCACATGATCTCCTGCAGGTTGCTGTTTGCGGGGCCGTTGATGCAGTTGCCGGCGCTGTCGAACTGCGGACGAATGCAGCAGCAGGTTGTGAAATACAACATCATCATCATCATCATCATCATCATCATCATCATCATCATCATCAGGGTGGTAGGGTGACAGGGGTCGAGGCAGACCAGCAGATCACCAGCAGGGTGGGACAGGGGCGCAGGGCATGGCTGCGGTGCCCTACTACCGTAGCATTTGGGGCACGGCACAACCCCCCCTCACCCACCTGCGAGCCGTGGCACACACAGTCGAAGGTGGCGTCGTTGGGGTTCCACTGCAGCAGGCAGCCCAAGTGCGGGCAGACGGCGGAGTGCCTGATCAGGCGCCCCTCGGGGGTGCGGAAGGCAGCCACCTTGTGGAGACCCTCCTGCACCACAGTGCCCTCGCCTGCATGAGGGGGGGGGATTGACAGGGATACTTATTCCGCATGAAGGGGGGGAGGGGGGGGGGGGGAAGGGGGGGGGGGGGGAGTAGGGGGTAAAAAAACAACCAACGATGATGACCTTGCAAACCAACCCGCCGAAGCCACCGCTCCCGACCCATGGAATGGGTGATCGCGTGTGTAGTTGAGCGAAAACAAGAGCAAGCAGCTGGGATAGGTTTGCATGTGAACCGCAAGTTCAAGGTTACACAGAGGTTACACAACCAGGGTAACCAAACCTGAAACATAACGCACATGCCTCCTCCCCCACCCCCTCCTACCCGGCTTCAGCTCCTCCTCCATTTTCCTGCCCGTCAGCC